CTCCCCTGACAATAGTTTTTACTTTTCCATGCTTGATGTTATCCAACTGCAGAATAAATATTTGTAGGCTTCATTTTCGTTGCATTTAATTAGTTGGCCATTGAGCATATCAGTTCCCTCACATGTAGTGATTTTGTCCCTTTTTATGGATACAGTGGCACATTTTTCCATGCCAAACTGCATTGAAATATCGGTGCTGAATACTCGGACTGTGTTTGTCAATGATTGGATTTCTATTTCTGACTTTCCATAGAGTTTCAAATCATCCATATATAATAAATGCGAAATTTTTTCAGCTTCTTTGGCTGTTTGGTAGCCTAATTTCATTTTTTTTTAATTAAGATTACTGATAGTGGGATCATTGCGATGATGAAGAGAAGAGGTGAAAGTGAATCACCCTGGAAAATTCCTCGCTTGATATTAACCATTCCGTAGATCTCATTCCCCACTGCCAACTCAGTTCTCCATTGTTTCATGTGATTTTAGCAATTTTCTTCCCAAGTTAATTCAAAATGTATATCCAAATGTTCCTCTATTTTTTTCCCCAAGCACTAGGGAGGATTGTATTCAAAACCAGACACTTTTGCGTGTGTGTGTGTGTGTTTGCTTCTGGTCTCCAGAAACAATTTCACCTGTTTTTCAAATTTTGATCCCATTCGCATCTCCCTTAGGATTCAGCAGCCTTGCAAGGATCACTGGCTTGCTTATAGCACAGGGCTGCATGGCCGCCTGCAAGAATGGGTGCGGGGGTGGGGACAGCAGTGGGAGCTTACCTCCTAGGTGCTGGCCGCACCACGCAAATAACTGCCCGTCACCCCAGGGAGGGGAGGTCTGGCCACCAGCAAAGGGCTTCCGTCGAGACGCCCCCTGCAGGCAAAATAGCAAGCGAGCAAAGGAGGATCAGCCAGGGCATCGAGGCCCCTTCACCTCCCTTCGCTCCCACTTTGTCTTGATGAGGTCACTGTAGCTGCCATGCACGGATGACGGAGGTAGCCAGAGTGGCCTGGGCGGGCAAGTGGGCAAGTGATGGAGGATCAGGCAGTTCACTCGCCCGCCTGCCTGGGCTGCCCTGCCGCTCTGGCTATCTCCATCTGTCCGCGCCCGGCAGCTGCGGCGACCTCATCAAGACACAAGTGGGAGCGAAGGGAGGCGAAGGGGCCTTCCTTTGATCTGTCGCTCTCCATGCCTGTCTGCACTATGCTAGCCCTGCTCACCGCTCACTGATTGGCTGGGTCACCAATCACCCCACCCGCCTCTAAGAGCCCTATCTATAGAAAGCCAAACAGAAAAAAAGGGTAACTGGGTTTAAATAGGGATCTTAGAGGCAGGCAGGGTGATTGGTGAGCCAGCCAATCAGTGAGCGGTGGGCAGGGCTAGCATAGTACGGATGGGCGGGGGGAGCAAGTGATCAAGCAGCTTCTGGATGAGTGGGGGTGAGTAAGCGAACTGGTTCTAAAAGGCTTGCTAGAGGGGGGCCCTCCAGCACTCCTCTGCCACCCCCTTGCCTCTTAGCGCCCCCCTAAGCCATTCCACCTCCCCCTGGGGGCGGTACCATCCCCTTTGGGAACCACTGCTCTACTCAGAAATTTATACTGTTAATTCATTTTGAAATTATTGTATACTATTAATATAAAAGCATTTTACGTGTTTTTATCATTGTCAAATTTAACATTTTGTGATCAGCAAGCCCTTTTAAATGATTAATAAAATTTGTTATTTGAATTTATTTTTTAAAAACGTATACCCAATTTGTGCAAGTCAGTTTGGTGCACTGTTTAAGATATCAGGCTAGAAACCAAAAAATGTAAGTTCCTGCATAAAGCCAACTGAGAGATATTGGACCACTAATTTTCTCTCAACCCTAGGAAGGAAGCAATGGCAAACCACCTCTGAAAAACCTTGCTAAGGAAATTGCAGGGACTTATCCAGAGAATCTCTGACAATTAGATAATTAAATAGAAGAGTGAAAAATCTACTTTGTAATGGAAGGTTCTTTGACATTCATGTCTTACTATAAACATGTTTGGGTAAAACCAAGAATGCTTTCTTATTTTGCATTCCACTTTATCTAGATATGTGTGAATAATGTCAGCAGGTTGATAAATCAGCAAAATTGCTTATACTTTTTATACATAAAAGCAGGAACACACAAAAATTTATTGCATTATTTACTAAGTGAGTGTAGTTTTCTTTTAATGATATGTTCATCAACATAGGGAAATCACATAGTTTTGAAGAAATCTCTCTATATAAAAACCAAATACCATTCACTCACCACAAAATCTCCAAAACTGTAAAGTCTATAAAGTTGAAATTCAGCATGTATGTTCCTCTTGGCTGCTAGGTGCTCGCTAAGAAAGGATTTGTCAAAATGACCATCAGATCATCAGTATTTTTAGACAGTTTATTCAGTTTATATTAACATATGTTGATACTAAGAAGTTAGACATTCTACTACCCCTCCTCACCGGAAAGGAACTCTGTTCCAACTGCCAGTTGCCTTATATTAACACACTCTGATACTATCCCCTTCGTTAGATCAGGTTTGAGCATGGCCAGTGTGTGACCCATCCGGCCTGCAGGCTGGGAGTTTAGACATTCTGCTACCTCAATCCACCTGAAAGAACCATTTTCCAACTGCCAGTTGCCTTATATTAACAAGTTAAGGAGTTAACATTCTACATTAATTTTCAAGCTTAAAGTATCAAGCCCGATCACATAGTTTCAAAACGAAGCATGGGTATTCAGCTAGTACTACATATTGTCCTTTCTTCAATAGGCGCAGCCTTTGGTAAGTCTTATCATTATTGCTTACTTGTGTTTAAAGATCTGTAGACACATTTCTTTTTAAAAATGATTGAGGTTCATGAATATATACTACAAATATTAGAAAAACTAGCAAAATTAACATTAAAATATGTTTGTGGTTTCTGTTCTCTTTGCATTTATAAATAAATGTCTGTTGCCATGACAATAGGAGTGTTTAAAACTAGTTTTAAAATATCATTGCTATGATAACAATGCATGTAATAGCTAAGGAAAAATGTGATAAAGAAAACAACATATAATTTCCAAATGAATAATTAAGTTTCCTGTAGATATTATGATTACAGTGGTTGTTTTCAGGAAGATTCTTCCCTTATTTGTATCTCTTCCAATAAAAATTAAATGTGTGGCTAGTTTTCCCTCCCAAAAAATAATAGGCAGTTTTCTGCCAGTATATTAGATTAATATTTCTCTGTTATCAGTTAGTAATAAAATAATCATTATTGTCATGTTACCAAACAGCAAAATAATGTCTTCAAATGGCTTGATAAAATTACTAATCAAATGATTTTTTGATTATTATCTTTTTTTTCCAAAACAGCATTGTGGGGATGCTTTGTGGAAGAATGTCATATTTAATTGTCCTCAGTAACTGTCAAAGACAGATCACTTAACAAATTTTAGTATGTAGAGTTCTACAATTTAAGTTATTTAACGTCTGGCAAAACATGTGTAGATTACCAATTACAATATCAGATTTTTACATTATTTGCATTAATGCTGAAGTCTAAACCCATGTTTCTTATGGGTTCCTATTTTAATGAATAGAATGCAAAAAGCTTTGGTTCTTTTTTTTTTTTTTTGCACTTTGATTTTTTTGTTCCACGCTGATAAGTTTCTGAGGAGGGTGTCAAATTATTTAAAAGAAACAACTGTAGAATAAAATAATTTCTTATCCTTTAGAAAATCAAATCTGCTTTCTAATACTGTATGTCGAAAAGCTTAACTATGTATTATTTGCCCTGAAAATAAATATTCATCATATTTTGAAGTTCTGCCATACTTTATTTAGCAACTGAAGAGGAAATACATAAACCATTAGATTTGCTAAAAAAATTGTATGTTATTACTATTCATATTTATTCTCTTCAGCTGTTCTGTATATTGAGACTATTAATTATAGGGGTTTGACCTTGAATGCTGATGCTTATTTATGAAGTCAAAATATTATTGTGAAAAGAGCAAAAGTTATAATAACATTTTCTAAAGTACTACATAACTGAGAGCTTCTTAGTACTCAAAATTTAACACAAATTCTAAACAAATGGTCAAAAAAAGTTCAGTTATGTAGTATTTCCCAAATATTTTCCCGTGTGTGTGTGTGTGCGCGCGCGCACGTGTGTGTGCTCTCGTGTGCGTCCATGCATGTACACGCATGTATGTGTGTATATGTATATATAATTTTTATTGGGAAGAGTATGTTTTATTAAAGAAATAGATTAATACAAGTTTTAAAGTATGTTATTGTTCAGGACAACATCTATGCAAATCTGTAATAGCTAAAATCAAATGTACAAGTACAACTTTCTTATTTTGTCAAATAGAAACAAACTATATTTATTGTATATGTTTATGATACAAAATATTGTTCATAATACATGTTAAAATATAATTTGCAAATAAAGTATATTTTATGGGAACTATATTCTTTATAAAATATTTATGTCTATTATAATCTATATATTTCTTCCGTAGCTGAATATCGTGAACATAACCTCTTCAGTGGTGGATTCAAAATGAGGAAACTCTGCAAATTTTGTGATGTTAAATTGACAACATGCACCAATGAAGGTCATTGTTGCAGTAAGTGCAACCTCACTTCTATTTGTGAACACAAAAATGAAATCTGTGCAGCTGTTTGGTAAGTACATTTTATCTATGTGCAAGAATTGGCATTTGATTCATAGTTTTGGGTTTGGTTTGGTTTGGTTTTAAATTTGTCTACAACTTCCACTATACCTTTTGATTATTAAGACAGTTTTCAGAATAAAACCAAACTTTGTTTCAATTCATTTCAATGTAATATATTGAAATTCTTATTTCTTATATTACATGAGATTTTGCAAAATGGGGGCCTATGTAGTTATGAAATTCAGATATTTACAGTACATCTGTAACAAGTTCTAGTCCTTTGGGAAACAGAAGTAAAGCAGATGAGTTAGGATACAATCTCTTCAGAAGATGGTCACTATAGATTAGATTTGATTAAAGTATATTAAGTTATACCTATTTAAATTCACTCTAGTATTGTTTACTATAAACACAGAACTGTACAAGCTATAATAGATTCCATGGCTTGAAAAATGGAAGTTTAAAAGATACTCAACAAAATTTAATTAAAACTTATTTACCTGGTTTAGATTATCATATTGTGGTTTAATAATGTATGAGGAAGTATTTTTGATGATTTCTACAATTCTCACTAATTAAATTGGGAATTTCTAAATAGTATCAAGTTTTGCTTCCATCCAGATTGTTAAGAGATTTGAAACAAGCCAAGGATATTAAATTGTCTTTAAAATACTGGCTTGTTGCTTCAGTGTTGATTAGTTCTCCAATGTGTACATTAAGAAGAACTTTGATAATAAGTTTTATAGTATGATTATTCATGTAAAGCAGGGGTGGGTTGCTAATCCCGTTCCAACCGGTTTGGTTGGAACGAGGCCGGCGGTGTCCTCGTGCACGCGCACAGTTCACGCCTGCGTCTTAGCGCCTGCGCAATGCTCCAGCTGCTCGCGGAGACTCGCGCAGGTGCTGTATGTGCCATCCAGCTGCTCGCGGAGAATCATGCAGGCGCTGTATGTGCCATCCAGCTGCTCGCGGAGAATCATGCAGGCGCTGTATGTGCCATGCACCTGCGTGGAAGCGCAGAAGCCTTTAAAGACCGGTAAGGAGCGCGGGCGGGCGGGTGGACCCTTCGCCGTTCCCGGAAGTTACTTACTTCCGGGTTCGCCGACCAACCGGTTCGCAGGGACCGCCGCGAACCGGTTGAAACCCACCCCTGATGTAAAGATAGAAGATTGAGATGGGTAGTCTATTAGGGCCTTACTCTCCCTATCTGCCATTTCTACCACGTTCGTTATGCTATCTTCCTAACACAAATAAAATTCTGTAGATACACATTTGTGTATCTTAGATACCAGAAGATATTCCTCCAAGCATCTGGGACAATCTTTGTTTTAGATTTTTATTCCAACAACTTATGGCACTGACATACATATTATAACTATTGGTGCATAACTAGTGATTTCAAATTCACATCCTCAGTTCAGTTGTTGGCTTTCATAGTGCTAACTAAGGTTCATTATGATAAACTAAGGTGATTGTGGCTAAATTCATTTCACAGTACAACAACTCATGTATAAAGAATGTGCCTATGGAGGTATTACATCAATGTTGAATATATTAGGATGTACATATTATAGTTCACCAAGGTGGATATTGCCTGTATCCATTTACTAACCCTTTCATCTGCTTTCATCTAAATGACCATCCAATAAATTCACCATCCAGTGAAGACTATAAATGACTGTGTCAGCATTCCAAATATCATACAAAATTAAATCAGAGTCCAAGGCAGAGCTACCCTTAAGGTTCCAATCGAATAAGACAGACATGTTGGCACATTGCTGTGGAATTCCAAATGACATCAGAATTCCACCCAGTTAAAAGTTCATCATCTTGTCCCCACACCCACAATCCATCACATGGTCCAATATTCTTCTTCCACGCTGGCATACCCAACTTCTTCCGGTCAGGTGTACTGGTGCGGATACTGGTGCGGAGTCAAAGGATGACCTTGGCCTCTAATAAAGAATGAAAAACAATACATTCCACAATCCTACTCCTTCTATTCCCCCCTTCCATCGACTATACTTAAAGAAACAGCATAACGAAATAAGAGAAAGTGTGGCAGGCCAAAATTCTAAAAGGAATATTATTGCAGGCCTGACAAACTGGTTATTAAACTGCTTTTGTCTTGATGGTTCATTTGTTAGTCTTATTTGAATTATTTAATAAACTGGATAAATACAAGCTATTTCTGTTGTCTTTTATTGTGTATAACTAGCCATTCCTCAAAATGATTCCCAAGTTGATTCAACACTACACAAATCTATTCAAGACCACTATTTCAGTTAATACATATTTGTATTTGTGATGGAAGATAATATTGTATTTAATGTTTTAGATAATTTAATGCAGTTTAAATTACTGCAGTAATCATTATAGAAATGATTATACTATCATTATATAATTATAGTACCTTGAACCTTGCCTGAAACTTAATTTTGGTGCAATTTTTTAAATTCTGTAATAACCCTATTTAGAAATAAATTTGTGCTTTTTTATTTTCTACCATTTTTAGGAGAAAGAATAATGGGAATATAACTCTGGAAACAATATGCCATGATCCTACACTAGAGCTCCATGGATACAAATTGGATGATTTCAATTCAAAAAAATGCTTCATGAAAGAGAAGAAAGGAGCTGGAGGATTGCTATATATGTGTTCCTGCAAAGATGATGAATGCAATGATGAAATTATTTTTTCAGAAAGTAAGTGTGCATGGTATTTCATTTTATACATGGGTCCACTTTTTGACCAGGACTGTCCAGTTGATAAAGAAACCTTGCATGGAAGCCTTTCAATCCTGAAGAGAGAGAATGGTTGCTTTAACAAGTCAATAAAATTTTGAAATATTCCATGCAACTTACATAATAAACTTATAGATCAAAAGAGTTCTGATTATTATATTTTCTTCCAAAGTAGCAATAGTAGAATTATTCATAAAATAATAATTGAAAGAAACATTCCCATTCATTGCATTGATTTCTTCTGCTGCCCAAATCATACTTGGATGAAAAGCTAAACTAAGTCCCTGCGATGACCCAATGGACTTTATAAACTGCCTTCAATTTTGCTGTAAATTGGACTTCCCTATCTGATATGATTCTGTGGGGGATTCCATGTAGCCTATAGATCTGCTTGATAAATAATAAAGCTTAGCTTTTTTGCTGATGGGAGCCCTGGGCAGGTGGTGAATTGGGGTTGTTTTGAAAACAAATCTATGGTCCAGATGACTGTGTTCCCTCTGGTGTCAGGAAGCTTCACAAGAAAATCCACAGCAATTTCCTCCCATGGTCAGGACTTGTTGGAGGAGATCTGGAATCTTCCTTAGACTCTTTTTCATGGTTGCACAAGTAGCACACCTTTTTACATAGTCCTCTTAATTTCTGGCCACCAAAATTGTTTCAGTGTTTTTAAATAGCCAGAATGTCTAGTTGGTTTAGAGTCATGGCTTTTTGAAGTACTTGAAGCCGTAGACTATGGGGCACATAGATTTTGGGTGCCTTGCATGCCAGCCTGTCTTTGAGAGTTAGTGCCCCTTTTATTATCTTTGTACCAGGGGTCTGTTAGTAGTTCATTCTTGAGGTTTTGGATCATGCCCCCCCCCCAGCCTTGGGTTTTTATCCTTTGGTTTGTGACTGAGTAGTGGCTTGCGCTGCTTGTTGGAAGGGAGGAATCATCACATAGATTACTTCCTGTGGCTTGCTGTTGAATTGTGGTTTTCTGGACATGGCATCAACAAATGTACTTTAGTTTAAAGTTAAATCATTTGAAGTATTGTGTCCAGTGAACATGCTTTGGGAAGAGTTTCCTGGCTTTTTGAGCAGTTCTAAGTTTTTTTGGCCAGTCCAAACTTCAAACGATTCTTGACTGCTCTCCAGAAAGTGTCTCTACTTTAGCAATGCCCATCGGACTGCATATGCCTCTTTCTCCCATACTGCCCACCTCCTTTTGGTGTCAGTCAGTTTTTTGGAAGCACTATCCCTGGAGTAGTACAGCAGTGACTGCAACATCATTGCCGTCTGCTTGCACTACAAAAAGCTGGCCAGGGTCAGGGTGTTTGAGGGTGGGTTCCTCAGCAAACAGTCTTTTTAGTGTCTCAAACACCTGATGACATTCCACAGTTCAGTTTATGGGTGGACTGGCCTGGGGTTTCTGGTTCCCCCCCCCCCCCCGGGTTTTAGTAGTTCTGTGATGGGCAAGACTATTTTGGTGAAGGAAGGGCTGAATTGTGTATAGAAGTTGGCAAACCCTAGAAAGCTTTGGAATTGTCTGCTAGTATGAGGGGGCTGCCAATCTAGTACTGCTTTGAATTTTGCTGGGTCCATTTCTACCCCCTCAGTAATCTAGAGCGGTCTTATGGAACTCGCATTTTGACAGCTTAACATACAGCTTTGCTGCGGGTAGTTTTTTCAGCACTTGGCACACTAACTTTACATTTTCTTCTATGGTTTCACTAAATATAAGAATGTCATCCAAATAGATGAGAACGCCTTGTGTATGTATGTAGCACCTACTTGATTAATTTCATGAAGTCAGCAGGGACCCCTTGTAATCCAAACAGCATTACTTTGATTTGGAAGCTGCCTAGTGGGCAGTTAAAAGTGGTTTTCCATTCATCTCCTTCTCTGATCTGCACCTGGGAGTATGCCTCCCACAGGTCTAGCTTGGTGAATACCTTCCTCTTGGTTAGGTGGGACAGCATGTCCTTCATTAGTGGCAGTGAGTAGGTTTTTTCCATGCTCACTGCATTTATTTCCCTAAAATCAGTACAGAGCCTTATCAACCCATCTTTCTTTTCTTTAAACAGGACAGGAGTGGCCACCCTAAATTTTGCTGATTGTATGAATCCCTGGGCTAGGTTGGCATCAGTATGTTCTCTTAGCTCTTTCATTTCTTTAAGAGTCATGGAATACAGATTTGGTTTTGGTAGTTTAGCCCCTAGCATGAACTCAATTTACATTCTGTTGGTCAGTGGGGGAGGGACAGAGCATTGCATTCCTCTTTACTAAACACCTCTGCTAAGTCCTGGTACTCTCTTGGGATCTGGGAAGTCTTGGGAGCGGCTCTGACATTGCAACAGCTTTCTCTTTTCGGTTAGTGTCACTCAGTAAATTTTCAGTAGCACCCTTCCCAGGTGATCACTGGGCTCCATTTGTCTAGCCAACACAGTCCCAATATGGCAGACGTCTGCCATTTTTGGCATCACTACAAACTGAATCACCTCCCAGTGGGGTCTCATTTCTAGTTTGACTGGTTTAGTGACAAGTGTAGCTGGGCTCTCCCCTATTAGTGACTCATTGACCTGCTCGAATCATATAGGACTTATTAGTGGTCTCATCTTTATGTTCATCTTAGTGACTAGGGAGGGACTAAAGCAATGGGTGCAGCCATGTCTATGATGGCTTCTACTTCCCCTTGGCCTCCTGTCTCTGGCACCACTTATTTTTACTTAATTGTGAAGGGATGGATGGTTTCACTTACCATTAGGTCAACCTCACTATTGTTGCTGCTGTCACTGATCATCAATGGTAGGACCTCAGGGGTCAGAATTCCCTCTTCCCCTTTTTGGGGAGGAGAAACCCCAATGGCTTATCAGGCAAACTTCCCCTTCTCTATGGTCTTTTGCTTTGGTCTATTTGGCTTCACAGGAGTTTGACCTCTAGCTTGTGGCATGGAGGCTAGGGTCAAGCATTCAGATGCTCGGTGACCCTGTTATCCACACCAGGGCATCAGGGCATTTGATGGGCATTGTGGAGGTCTCTCTTAATGGCTCCTCCACTTGGTGTGGGCTAGATCGCCATCCCAATTGCTTCTTAGATTTCTTCTCTGGGGTCTCCTTTGGTGTCACCAAAGGTGCATTGATACAGCCATCCAAAACAAGTGATGGATGCAATCTGGAACTTCCCAGCAAAGACATGAAGTTAGGTCACTTATTCAAATGCTTTCCCATCCCGGTTTTCAGTGAGGGTGGAAACGATTTCTCTGTCATCTTGGTAGTCATCTCCATAGTGGTCTATATTAGCCCATGCTCAGTTTAGAAAGAAAGCCAATTTGTGTTAGCTCCCATGGTTGTGGTGCAGCTGGTGGGACAGAATCCATTGTGCCTGGACCTGGAACCAGCCTTGTCCAGGATAGTAGACCCATCCAGGGGGCACCTCCCCACCCGTTGGCCACTGGGGTTGACCCTGTGGACTGGCTGATCTTCTGCACCTGGGTGGGCTGTCATAAGAATTGAGACTCAACCAAACTGATAGCAGTGGTGGAGGTCTGGTAGTTCAGCTGCCCTGTGGATTTGACCAGTCCCTCCTGGTCCAATCAACTTATATAATCCAGTTGTTAGGTGAGTTCAATCTCCACCTTTTGATCACCTGCATGAATGCCCTTGGTTTCCAAGAGAAAGAATTTTATTTTGGCTATAACACCCCAGCTATCTCTACACCCCTCCTATCCCCTTAGCTTCAGGCAGTGACAGCCCCGAAGCAATGCGAAAAGAAACCTCCTTAGAAATAAGCTACAGAAAAGAAAATGGCCACAGTTAGGCCAGCTTCAGGGTTAACGTGTGTTTGTGTGTGTGTGTATGTGTGTATGAAAATAAATGAATGATTATTAATATTCTTAACATTTTATAGTGCTGTGACATATCTGTGTCTCATAATTAATAGTAAGTTTAATAATATAGTAATGAATAATCTGCATTCCAAAGAATCCACATTACTATAGAGGTTGAATGACTTTTTATAAATATTTCATTGTATTTATTGCCCCTTAAGCTGTTGGAGATAATACAGTTGGCATGGTAGAGTTATTTCCTGCTTCATTGCTTAAAATGAAGGAATCAAAAGCTTTGGCCTTCAGTAAGAGCATTTTGTTCTGCAAAAATGCCAAAGAACTGATAGTGATATTTTAGAGTGATAATCTGTATAACTTTTTAAAGGCTTAATACAGTTTTAATGAAAAAAGTATGCCTATAAAGAGTTCCATTTGAGTCTGTAAAATTTAAAATGAAACTTAGGTTAATAGAAATAAAATCTAGTAGTCAGGCAGGCATGAACAGACTTGTTAAGTAACAGGTAAATGATTAGGTAAGGGCAACAACCAGACTTCTAAGCAACTGGAATCTAGAATCTTGATTTTAAAAAGTCCTCTTAAAACTCTATTAGTTCGCCATAGGCCCAGCTACTAGTCTTTGGAAACTGTGTCATGCTATTCTGCTATTGAATGAGGACTTATTTGTGAATATATAATGGCAGATGTTTCTTTGAACTGAATTCTTCCTTATAGAACCCAGCATTCTACCTCTTCACTGTTGCTTTTTATTGGAAAAATTCAAAAATATTTGTACAATGAAACTGATGAAAAATTTAGAATCCATGGGACTATTAGGAGTACATTCAGCTAAAATCCAAAGGTTCCTTTTGTAACATTTACACTCCTTACACAATTGATGTGTTGTCATTTGGTTTTTATTGTTGTGGATTAGTGTTTTTTAAAATGAAAATGATCCCCTTTGGGTTCTTGTCTTCTTAGCTCTGGCAGGAAGACAAATTATTTTTACAGTATCAGACATGTGGTTTCCTGTCTGTGTTTAACACTGAACAGAACATAATGGCCAGCTGGTCCACGGCTCCCCAGACAGCTAGAGAATATCCTGCAATAATTTTGTCTGTTGGACTGTCATCCATATGTACCCTTGCCCCAACCATTA